TTGAAAAAGAGCGATCAGGACCTAATTTGGCAAACATAAAAAAATTGGATGCTTATAATAAAAAAAAAATAGTGACATGTACTTGCGCAACGTGAAAAAAAAATTTTTTTTCGTGAAAATCAAATTTTTCAGTAAATTATGGTAGGGGTGTGTATATATTATTTACATACCTATTATAGCAACTGCCCAAAAAACCCAAAACTAATAGCTTTACCTCTATTTTGAATCAGATTATGAAAAAATATAATCTATATGCAGAATCTGATCCATCTCAATTACATGCTCACACCAATGAGCTTGATACTATATTACCAGATTGGAAAGCTCGTAAAGATATAAAAGATGCTCTTCGTCAATACCTATTCAAAGAAAATCAAATAGAAGCTTTTGTACCAAACAAAAGAGGAAAGAAACTTACTATCAAGAAAAGAGCTTGGTATTGTGTAAAAACCGAAAATATGTGGGATATTTGATTACATGCTTTAACTTTAATTGAGACAGGAAATAATACTGATAATGATATTGTGGCAACTAGTTCCCATCTTTTACAATTTTGTAAAGAGTTGGCAGAAGCTAGAGTTGATCCTGAACAAATTGATACAGTACATATGTCAAATTATCAGATGTTACTGAAACTTCTAACAAAATCTAGAAGAAAAAACTCAAACAATAATTATCCAATCCACTTAAAACTCCCAAACACTTTTCCTTAGAGAAGAGACTTAGAAGAATTCAAAATATTGATACTACTAAAATTCCTACTATGCAAGATCTTGCAAATATAATTATGATGTTGAGCATAAGACCTGCTGAAGTAACTACTCTTTGAATTATTCATTATGAATCTTGTAAATTAAATCCTCTTGAATAATACAAGCCTGGTTATTTTTGGCATTGTATTAAATATATTAAAAATAAAGGAGAAGCAAAAAATAATCCTGAATCTTGGCAGTTTCTATTCATGAAAAAGAATCCAGAATGTGCAAAACAATTGCTTACCTGGATCCAAAATGCAATAGCAACTGGAAAGTTATGCAATTCTGTCTATAGTATTAGGGAAAAACACAATATAGGGGTATTTAGTAAATTTTTAAAACCATATGGTATTACAGCTAAAAGATTGAGGAAAATCGGAGGTAAACATGCTTCTAGAGTTCATTGTAGTCAAAATTCAACTTCATAGCATCTCAATTTTCTTATCAGAATTGTATTGAGACATAAAATAAACTGTTTTGATACAGGAAAAAATTATGCTGAGAGTAATACTTCTGATTCTGAATCTGAGTCTAATTATTCTTTAGAGTTAAAACTTTCTGATCTCAAGGCTCAAGTTTTGACATCTCAGCTTAAGAATAATAACTATAATTCTTTTAGATCTTAGATTGCAGAAATAGATTCAATATTAGCTACACATACCTATTACCCATGTATTTACACATAACTAATCTATTAATACACTAAGTGCTTTTGGCCATGCCAGTTCTGCTGATAATTTTACCTTATCTATCTTTTTTCCAAACTGGAAGATTATAATAATGCTGAACATCAAGTCTTTGACTTTCCAATAAATGATATGATAATTCTATTAATTTCATTTTGAAATTTTTTATTTATTAAATGTAAAGAAAGTGAGTCAACTTACCCACCTGTCATATATATATTTTTAGGTTAGCTCCATTGATTATTTATTAAATAAAAAGTCTTAATTAATAAATTGCTCACATTTGATATATCAAATATATAATATAAGTTATAACAAAGTATGAGATAGATTAAGTAAATATTATGAAATTATATTGTTAACAATATAACTGGAGTGTTTGATCATACGAAGTTACAAGAATATTTAGAGATAAATTATTTGAGTAAATTATCTACCAGAAAATTTCAATTTCGATCAATCACATTACGAGTAAGATTGACATAGAAGTTCATATAAACTTAATTTTTCATTAGCTTTTAGTCTGGAAAATATTTTTATAGCATATATGATTTCTTGATAAAAAAAAACAGAAACAAAGCTCAAAAAGGAAATAAGGGTAAAGAATTCATTAATTCTTATCAACACCATTATCAAAAATTGTGAGTTATAAGATTTTGAAATATCTGCAATTCCAGATTAACATTGTGATTAACTAATTTTGTTACGATTATTGAACCTAAATGGAGTTCATTTATTGCATCTATAATAAAATACTCCACATATTTACAGGTCTTGGCATTTAGTTACATATAAAAATACTTTCTATGAAGGCTAAATCGTAACAGGTTTACTTATAATTTCGGTAATACTTAATTTTATCATTTCCAGAATTCAGAGATTTGTTTGATAAAGATAGATTCATTTTTCAGTAAGTTATAGATTAAGCAATAAAAATGTTATAAATAAGCTGGTTTTAGGAAGACTTTATTTCTTACCTTCTTATGAATTTTTTTAAGGTATGTGTTGAGGTTCATCTATATACTTGTAAATTGTGACTATAAAGCAAGAGTGAAATTTTAATCATTAAGTTTTTACATGTAGAAAATACAAAATGCCTGATATTGATCTTAATTTTATTATTCGAGATATTGGAATCGATGGTATTTTCACTCTATTTGTTAATAATAGGGAGTTGGTAGAGTTTTTCAAAAATAAAATTTGAAGCAATCAACATAACTTAAATGAATTTGCTCTATATAAGAAGAATTTTTTTCAATAAAATAATATTTTCATCAGTTTATTAAAAATCCTATCACACCCGATAATAGAGAGGAACAACTTATAAATCCACAAGAAATAATTTCCGAGTATTTTATTGTCTTAGACATTTATGCTTTTAGAAAAAATTACTCTTATCTTTTAAAAAATGATGAAATAGGTCCTATAAATGTTATTATCTACTCCTTTGCTAAATAATTGGATTTTTTTATTCATGTAATAACAATATATATTCGCAATTTTATTTTTGTATCTGCCTTATTATGGCAAATTTTTTGTTTTGTAATATATGAAATGTATGGACTAAAGTCTAATAATAAAGCAGTGACCTCAAATTGTTTCAAATTATTGAAAAATAGAGTAAACGCATGCAATGAAGTTGAAAGCAAGAAGTCACATGCAAGAAAAAATATTAAAAAATAATGGATAGAAAAATTATTTATCTTACATTAGAAAATTTTTAATATAAAAGTTTTTAAAATAATAAAAAACTCCAGAAATTTTTATTTCAAAAAAATTTAAAAATCTTTGAAGTAATAATAATTATATTAAAATAAATAATTATTTAAAAAAAATTCATTACTTTTATCAAATCTTGGAATTATATGAACTAAATTATCTATTGCTCTTATATCTACTAGATTATACTGTATATATCTATTGATAAGAGAAATGTCTTGAAAAGATGCATTGACAAAATTGACATTTGTAATTCATTTTAAAAGCCTTCGAAAGGATCTAAAAAATGTGTAAAATTAATCAATATTTTATTAATTAATTTTGACCAATCAAAAATTTAATTTATGTTACAATAATTATATCAATAAATGATAAAATAATTTCATTTTTGTATAATGACTTAATAATTTAAATTTATAAAGTAATTTTTGAAAGGTAATAAAGAAAAGTTTGCAGTTATAATATGACATAATTTCTTGTAATTTGTATTATATAAGGTCTTTAAAGCTCTCACTTTTTCTTTAATGTCAAACAAAAAACAAGAAACATGTAAAATGTTTCAAAAACTTATTTCTGGTTCTGTCAAAAAAGGAAAAGGAAAAAGTCAAGGAAGTACTTCGAAGTTCTCTAAAAAGGCAAAGAGCACTCAGGAAACCCAAGGGCCAGCTACAAAACAAAGACCCTCGACTCTTATTGAATTGAAAACAGAAACATCTCAGAAGCAATTAAGATTCCTGAACATTTCTTCGAATCATTTTTTGACATGCCAACATGAAGAATATTTAAAGAAACTTTGAATATATTTAAAAATTTGTTATAATTTAAAATAAATACTAACTTATATATTTAGTTCCTAATAAAGCTATTGAAAGAATTATAGAGTCTCACAAAAACCTTCATAAGAAAATCGATCAATTGTTAGAATGGCAAAAAATAATAGAGAATAAAGTTACTCATCTAGAAAATAAAATTCACGCAAGTCAACATTTAATTACTGAATATGATTTTATCGAGGTAATGTTTATTTTTAAATTTTTTTAAAGATCTTCAAAAACTTATATTTTATTTAAATAAGCACACAATTAAGAGTATCATGAAACAAGTATTTTTTGAAAAAATATATCCAGACCTTGAAGATTTTTGTCAAACAATCAAGAAATATTTTCAGCAAGAACATCAGAGTTTTACAAAGGTCTCACAAAAAAATGCTGGAAAACATATTATGAAAAACATATTCATCAAGTGATAATTCTTATAAATATTAATAACTTTAGTTCTTTTGTTATTAAATACCTTATTGCTTCAAAAGCTCGTAAAACAGCATCAATTGCTTCATAAGACTATCACTTCAAAAATTGTAACACCATGTTTTCAGTATTTGGTGAAGGATTTTTGGATACAATAAATATGAATGCATCTGTTGTCAAAATTTTGACCTGAAAACAATCTCGGAAGACTGCTGAATGCTTAGAAAATCTTCACAAATGTTCAAAAGGAGAGACACAAAGTATGATGACCTGTATTTTCAAAAAAGTCTAGTCAAAGGGAGATGCCTTCGATGAACAAGTGGCATTTATCATTGCAGTATGTCAAACAGTTTTTGATCCAAATAATAAAAGTATTTTAATAAATGAAATGTTAATCAAAAGCAAAATAGAAAAAAATAAAGTGAGTTTTAAAAGTCTTCGAAATAATATAAACTATTGCTAATAATATTTTTAGAAGAGAATTAAAAAAGGACTTGGATTCGAAAAAGAAAATTCAAGTAGCAAAGATAAAGAAATAACTAAATGACAAATTATTACTATACATGATAATTCGGAGAAATGTGAAAATACTGAAAATAATTTGAAACAATTATTGGAAAATAGAGAATTAGAAAGAAGACTTTAGCAATGAGTGAAGATTTATATAGAATAAATAAATGTAAACAAGAATTATGTAATAATAAATAATTTTAAAAGCCAATAAACATTTAAAATTAAATATTAATAGAATACAATATATAAATATAAATATATTTTATTATTAAATTAAATTGAAGATCTCTGGAGTTTAATATATTAAGTTTCGCTCTAGAGGAAGATCTTTGAAGATCTTTATTAAAAAATTTTTTGATATATGTATATAAATTTTTTATTGTATTGGTGTAAGCAAACCTTTAGCTAATAAAGCAAATTAATCTAAATAGTTACTTTTTTTTTTGATAATTAATTTTTTATGTGTAATGATAAGGATCGGTATAGAAGTTTGTAGAACATGTGACAATCATTATTTTTTTTTACACAATATAACTTATAATGATTAAATTTTTCATCAATATCACATCTCAGCATTTATCAAAATAATCTTTATTATTACAGAGTAACGGGGCTCTGCCTCTATTTTTTTACATATTAATCTTGTGACATTATTTTTAAGAATTTTATGTGCTTTATTACTAACTTTATTATAATAAAAAAAAAATTCATTATGCAAATATTTCTTCTCAATATTTTTTTTTAATTTATCCAATTAACTAAATCAATGATTTGATAAGAATTGGATCCTCAGTATTTAAATCCCATTGTGCATATATCAAGTCTAAAGAGAATATTGTCTATTAATAGTCAACATATAAATTAAAGTATTATGAAAAAAGTTTTATTATTATTTTTTTTCAGATGATCTGTGGATTTATAGTGTAGTGATTAACACTTCACAGGTCAAATCACAAGATACCAGTTCAACCCCATATGAAAGCAGTTGAATAAAATTAATATAGTATCTGGTGCCATAACTTGTATAAGTGCTGTTTCTTATGAGAGGCCGTATTACACACTGATTCAGCGGGTGTTGAGATTGTGATTTCCAGAAAAGGTGTCGTGGCACAATGATCATCCGGTTGGTGTTACAATAATCGTCAGAAGTTGTAAGGTGTATAAGGTGTCCGCTTTCAGTAAAGATAGCTTGGTGATCATTTTCCCATGGTATCTGATGTCTCTTCCTACAAGTTTCCAGAAAAGGCCTTATTCCAATCCAGTAATAGATCGCTTCGACAGTTACCTATCCTGAGAAGGCAGCAAAAACAGCAGTAATTACTGATAGCTGAAACAATCTATAGGCTGTAAATCTGTGAGATAAGTTTCTTGAATGTTCTTGAGTAACTCTAGAAAGGTGAAAATTAAATAGTATGCCTATCTGCAGGTGGTCAGATCTAGAAGGATTTTCTCTGCAATGATTCTATTTGCCAAAAATAGGTACTACCCCCAATTCTCCACATTCAAACTTCCACTTAAAAATTCCACAATGCCAAATAGAACATCACAATATAATAATAATACTAACAGTGCTTTAACACATTAGCCTCAGCACAACCCCTCTGGGGTGACACTGACAGCAACAAGCCAATATGAAGTAAAATTGATATAGTCTAACAATGTGTAGAATTGTTCATAGATAGTAATTCCTGTAATACATGAAATACATATGTAAATAAAATAATAAAGTACACTAGGCAAAGCCCAGCTGGTTAAACACAAAAAAAAAAAAAAATTTTTTTCAGATTTATACATGCAAGTACAAACGTATAAGACAAATCAACAATCAGGTCTATTTTACTGATATGGATATGGAAATAGATCAAAGTATTACAAAGATTAATCGTATATTGGTGAAGAAACAGTGGGACTCGGATTGACATTTCGGGGTGGACGTGTGCTAGCTTGTTCTAGTGCCTGAATTAATAAGCTTTTGTTTACGATTGTAATATTTCTCGAAGTCAGTAGTAGATGAATAAGAGGCTTCACACGCCATGAAGTATTTTTTGTAAAAGGTATTGGAGCTTGGATAAGATGTAAATATCTTGGTATCCCATTTGCATCTTTCACTAAAACGTTTAGACATAAATCCTCACCAGCCACCTGAATTCCAATAATTCCAAATTGGTTGCTTGTTGGTCTACATGCAGTACCGATAAGGCTTACTCCATCTAGGGTTTCTCTCCACAATTTTATAGAATCATTCTCTTTCTTTGAATTAGTGCAAACGACCCGTGAAGATTCCACATAAGCGAGTTCAAAAATCTTACCTCCACATTTTTCCATCAACATAACATCGGGTTTTTTCCCGATCGGTACTTTGGGAGGGCATGAACTTCTTTCTTCATTCACTCCAAGACTTTTTCGGATCTTACTTGCCATACTCTGACGTTCTGCGGTACTCATACAAATACTACCATTTGGAAGATCATCCAAACCGGAACGAAGCAAAGGTACAATGACATCTGTGATATAAGTTCCTTCACTTTGAGAACTACGCATTTCGCTAGTTGCAAATGCTGGATTGTTCCACACCCCCTCCCTAAATTAAGAATAGTTAAAAAGTTATTTTAAAATTGCATATAAAGATAAAAAATACATACAGAACGCTTAATATACGATTTGTTCGTTCTATCAGTTTGATCTCCTCCTCTTTCCATTCTTTATTATGTACAATGTTCCTAAGTACATCCGGAACTTCAATATTATTAAAATTATTTACGAATTCATCACATATTCTCACGGGGCTCTAAAAAAAGTTGCTTTAGCCTCACCGCTAAATTTTTTACTAATGCTGAATCGTCGGAAATAATCATATTTGCCTCTGGATCACGTCTTCAATCCTTTTACTGCATCCAATCCTACGACACTTTTATATCCAACCTCCATCTACAGCAAATGCGATAAGTTAGATTCGTGGCCACGAAATTAATATGTCCGCACATGTACATTCAGATTCAGATTCTATCAATTTTAACGAACAGTAGAGTATTTTGTTTTTTCTGTAGACATTGCATATAGTTAGGGGGTAGCAGAAACCCTCAACATCGTGAGAAAGTTTTCCTGACAATGTTGCTCTTCCGGGCCGGCGTCCCTAACAGTAGTAGTATACAAAACAAACCCTCCAACATTTGCTGTAAAATCATCATTATATGTGGATTGTAGGAAAGGTTAAATATGGAATGTACTGACCTGTGGTAAAATCTCCAACACCTTCATTCTTCGTTCGAAATCAGTTATTTTTGTTAATGAGGAATTTACTGCACGTTCTGCTAAGTCTTTAACGAGAGGTAAGGGTTGTAAAGTTGTTCCCTTTCTTGTTAAATAAATTACAGTAGCGGAACATATAGCGTCAAGAGAACCTTCCAAAAAAAGAGCATCGACTTTTGAAACTAAGTTTGGCATGTTAACAATGAGTAGTATTGCAAGAAGCGACGAACAACCACAACGTAAAAATACTGTCCTTTTAAAACGTTTCCGCCCGCCCATTTCTGCCTCATTTGTATTTAGGGAACGTGCACGACGAAAAAAAAACTTTTTCACAAAGAAAATGACACGATTAATTATTGACCTTCAATTTATTCTGCGGCATAGTATGTGATATGTATTTCGAAGTAATGGCAATCAAAGAAAATCTTGAGATTATCGTTGGCCTATTGAAAGAACGGGTGACAATCGATAATTCTCCAACCAGTAAGAAGGTTAGGATTAAAAAATTTACAAGTAATGGGTAGATAGTTTTCCGTCTCATTTTGGATCAACATTCCGAGATGTGCAATCGATTAGCTTCGGGTTTTTCAGATCCTTTGATACATCTAACCAATGTGTTGTGTTACCTCTTTCTATAAAACAAGAAGAAATACCTGATTGTATAAATTATCAACATGCCCATTCGAAACTTAAAGTGAGGTTTTTGCTCTAGCTGATAGAATGGGTAGTGATCTTGGAATGAATACACCAATGATTTTACATAATGATCAAATGGAGTCACCATTATTGATTGGAGATAATTGTGACATTGATCCAATATTATTTAGTAGGGTACAGAAAAAACGAATTATGAAGTCGGTCGATGAACTACCTAATAAAAAGAAAAAATTCGCAAATAAAGATTATTCTCCCGTAATAAAAAAACTTATTCAAGAGTTTTCAACTGACGATCCCGAGAATGAAAAAACTTTACAATCTGAATCTGCTTCCAAGTCCAACACATCAGTTAACTTCCTAAATTTATATCAAAAATCGTAGATGCTGAATTATTAACAAAAAAACATCCCAAGACGTTATATGCCACTATTTTTACTTTGGAAAAGCTATTGATGAACGGTTCAATCACTACAGGAATAAATATCCAAAGCGTACATCTGAAGGAAAAGTTGCTGAAAACAGATTTCAAATACAATTAGTGAAAGCTTACTTCGAAAGACAAAAGCAAGGGTCCTGAAAATTCATGATCTTTTTAGTAAATTGGGAGAGTATAGGATCAAGCGAATTAAGACTTTTATAGATACAACACTAACTAAATTATCTCAGGATGATATTAATTATGATGTATTAGCAAAGGTTTCGGTATATGGTATTGCACTATCGATATTATACTGCGCCACATAGTCATATGTTGTTGTGATCCTGGATCACAATTTATGAATTTTTTAACATCGTTATACTTTAATAAACTAGCCCATTGGGTCTTTTGTTTTTTAACTATGTAATTGGCCATGTGTATGTGCTGGCATTAAGTATCGAAAAATAAAGTTATTAAAATTGCTAGTATTGAATATATTTTGATATATTTTTTATTGTGGAAACAATAGAGCTCTGCCCTTCATCACCTCCATTAATTATTGCAAAGCAATGATCCAAAGGATCTACAGATTCTGATATAACCTGTGATTTCAGATGTTTCAATTCAACTTTAACATGTTTCAATTCAGTTATTTTAGATTTGAGAGATATAATCTCAGAATTTTTTTTTGATAAATCTTTCTAAACAAAAAATGTATTCTTTTGAGCTAATGCCAACTCACTTTCTAATATCTTGAATATCGATTGAAACAATCTTATTTCTTTTAATTGAATATCATACCTGGCTTTATATTCATTATGGAAAATCTGTGATCAGGTAATCTGGGATATAAGATTAGTATTGGTCACTTTCAATCATTTAACCTTATTAATAAGTTAATAACTATACTTAAAAAGTTTTTTTTTATCTTTATTGATTTGATTTAGATCATATTGCAATTGTGTCTTATCCTGTTTAATATTTTTATTAAATTCTAAATATATCTTCCTATAGTTTTTAAAATCCTTAATAAGTTCAGAATTGGACATACAACTATCATATAAAACTTTTTCAAGTTCTATTTCCTTAGTACTCCCAAGCTAATGTCCTTTTGATATATTGATATCTTGTAATATATACTGTATATATTGGCTATATATTTTGAAAAATATGTATATACTATAAATATTATTGTTATTATTGATATTATTGATATTATTGATATTACTGATATTATCAATAATTTTTTTTGGTATTATCAATATTATGGATATTAATAATAATTTTTTTTTGGTATTATCAATATTACTGATATTATTATTAAGACCATATGATTTGATGCAATTAAACTATCACTTGCTAATAGGAATCAAAGTTTTAAACCAAAAACCGATTGATCTATGAATCGGTTTTGGTTCAGATCGGTTCAGTTTTTAAAATTTTTAAATTGATAAAAATCAAATCAGATCGGTTTTAAAATTTTATAAACTGATTGAATCAGATCAGATCAGTTTCGGTTCGAATTAAAACTGATTTTGATTTTTTATATTTTATATTTAAATAGAAACAAAAATAAAAAAATTAAATTAAAATAAAATATATAAAGTAATAAAATAAAACAATCATAAATTTTTACAGTTTGACTTTGCTTTATTTTTTTACAATGTAGAATTATAAATAAAAACTTTTTGATGATTTTACTTTTGCTGTTTTTATCATTCCTTTATATTTCAACAAGTTTGTTTAATACTAATATTTTTTTTATTCTAA